CCAATCCAACAAAAAGATTTTACAATAGCAACGTACTCCCTTTCTGTCCTTGAGAAAGGGCTTAATAAGTGATTCAGTGGTTGACGGCTTAGGATCATCCTTTTATCGCAAATATATTGATTGAGATGGATAAAATACCAGAACATAGAAAAAACGCTTTTAAAGCAAAATCTGTTTTCAAAGCTGAAGAATTACGCCGCCGCCGTGAAGAGCAACAGATCGAAATTCGCCGGAAGAATCGTGAAGAATCCTTGGCGAAACGTCGCAATCTTAATGTTCCTGCCTCTCCTGACTCCGACGATGAATCTGCTGTTGCGGTTATCAATGCACAGGTACTATTGCTTCATTTGTAATTTATGCTGCTGCGCAACGTACTTATTGCAAAGATACTTGCAAACAAGGAAAGCATTAAAATTATGATCCCGTTGTTTATATATTTTTCTACATTCCCTTTGGGGAGTTTTATGAATGAAGAAACCATAACCTTTTATAGTAAAATCTTATTTCAACCACTGATTCAAATTCAATATCTAATTAATGTTTCTCCTCGTTAGCTCCAAGAACAATTACCTGGAATGATACAGGGTGTCTTTTCCGATAATGTTGAAGAGCAACTTCAAGCCACAACAAAGTTCAGGAAGTTGCTCTCTAAAGAAAGAAACCCACCCATAGAACAAGTTATCGAATGTGGAGTGGTCTCCCGATTTGTTGAGTTCTTGAGATCTCCTCATTCATTGGTTCAGGTAAGAGAATATCAATATGTAAATATTTTTGTAAATTCTAGTACGTTTTATTGATCTTAATACACTTGTTCGAAACAATAATACAGTTCGAAGCTGCATGGGCCTTAACAAACATAGCTTCTGGATCTTCTCAACAAACTCAGGTTGTAATCGACGCCGGAGCTGTTCCAATCTTTGTTGAGTTGTTGAGTAGTCCTGTTGCTGACGTTAAAGAACAGGTAAACTTCTATCTAATTAGCATCGTGACTCTTTTTATTTATACAATGCCCATAATAAAATTTTGATCGTAGGCTGTATGGGCCTTGGGAAATATCGCTGGTGATAGTCCACCATGTCGTGATTATGTTTTACGTGAAGGAGCTCTTCGACCTTTATTGTCCATCTTGAACGAACACAATAAGTTGTCCATGTTACGTAATGCAACATGGACACTTTCGAACTTTTGTCGAGGAAAAAGTCCTCAACCGGATTGGGCCTTGGTAATTGTAAAATTTTGGATATATTTAGGAACGATTTGATTTCATTGAGTTTACTGAAAATATGTTTGTTTTTCAGATTGCTCCTGCACTTCCCGTTCTTGCTAAGCTCATTTATTCCATCGATGATGAGGTCCTTATTGATGCTTGTTGGGCAATTTCTTATTTGTCGGATGGAAGTAACGAAAAGATACAAGCTGTTATTGAGTCCGGTGTCTGCCGTCGGCTCGTTGAGCTTTTGATGTAAGTTGGTGGCTATTAATGTGTTTAAAATTTTTATTGGGGACACATAATGAATGTTTTAAAATATTTAGGCATTCTTCGACATCGGTTCAGACTCCTGCCTTACGTTCTGTTGGAAACATTGTAACTGGCGATGATGTTCAAACTCAGGTCATCATCAACTGTGGAGCGCTTCCAGCTTTGTTGAGTTTGTTGTCTAGTCCTAAGGATGGCCTTCGCAAAGAAGCTTGTTGGACCATATCGAATATTACTGCTGGTAATTGTGCACAAATACAGGCTGTTATAGACGCCAACATTATACCTCCTCTTATCAATATTTTGCAACACGCCGACTTTAAGACTCGTAAGGAAGCTTGCTGGGCAATCTCAAATGCAACATCTGGCGGTTTGAACAAACCTGAACAAATCAAGTATCTTGTTAGTCAAGGATGCATTAAACCCTTATGTGATTTGTTGACTTGCATGGATAATAAGATAATCCAGGTCGCTTTGGACGGTCTTGAAAATATCTTAAAAGTTGGAGAATTGGAAAAAGTTGATGGTGTTAACCAATTTTCATTGTATATTGAAGAAGCTGGTGGCATGGAGAAGATCCATAATTTGCAGATTCACGACAATATTGAAATTTACAAGAAGGCTTATAACATAATTGATAAATACTTTGCCGAAGATGAAGATGCTGCGATAGCTCCAGAAATGGATATGAACTCCGGTCATTTTGTTTTTCAATCAGATGTTAGTTTACCTCATAGCGGATTTCACTTTAACAACGGTGGAAATCCTATGTAAGAAGCTACTTTTTCATAGTAGTATTTGCAGAGGCGACAACATAGCGGTTCCATTAATTATTATAAATGAGAATCCTTGTATTTACTGTAAATCAACAAATATAGTGAGCATATAGCGACACCCTGCGTTTTAAATGTTTCAATTGCGTTTATTTCCCTTTGTTTTTTTATTCTTTTTCCTGTCATTTCTTTTTCTTCGTCTTATTCCTTTTAGATATTGTATATGGAACAATAGGAATTAGTTCTTATAAAGATGTGAAGTACGGATTTAGGTTGCTTCATGGACATTATGCACAGACATTGACAACAGATATTCCCCTTTTCATTTCTTTCATCCAAATTTTTACATTGCCTTTCATCACTACCCATGTTAATTTTATTCCCTGTACCCTTTCTCTGTCCCCTTTAATCACTTCAATAAAATCCCCTTCAAATAAAACTATTTTTCAATTTCTTATATGATGCATGATT